TAGGCCTTCTTGTGCCTATTTTCATCCTAAAGAAAGGAACATCTAATATTGCAGATAAGATCCAAGGACACCACAGCAGGCAGCCATACACAATTGATTTTCTTGCTTCCTTACATTCAGTGCTGCTCCACTGGCAGGTACTGATACCAGTTTAAAAATGTTCTTGGAACTAATCTTCAAACCACTCTTACCTGAGTAAATCCAAAATGCCCTATTTTCCTATTTTGTAAAGGCCCCTAGGAAGCAGAGAGCCTGCGCTAACGTAGCGTGGGACTGAAAGGCAAAGAATCTATCTCAGCTCCTTCTCCTTTCCTCTTGCATTCCCTGCTTACATTTCTAGCATGGCTTCACCCTGAAATAGGCTTCCTTTTCTGTCACTTCTCCTACTCAGGGCTTTGAAGGCTATTTTAACACAGACTGTAATGTAAAGATGTAGGCCACAAAGGAAGTTCTGAAAATATTTAGTTCAGGACTGGTTGTGGAAGGAAAGACAAAGGGAACAAGACATACAGTTAAATAGGACATGACAAAAATTCTTACACAAATGCAGGGTTAAAGAACATCATTAGAAAAAAAATGTTTCGGCATTGGTTTGGTGGTGTTTTATTTTTTCCTAATGGTCATAAAGGTCTGTAGAGTTTCGAGACAAACATGCATCGAAGAGTTTGTGTTTGTTAGGTATGCATTTTTATTGACTTTGCTTGTGTTCCACCTTTGAAAGAGCAGAACTGGGACTTTTTTATGATCACAGGACCAGCAAGTTACATACAGATACCACATGAGTATTCAGATCTTGCTTAGAAACATAGTATAGAATATATTAGCAGTGTATGCCTGTGTGGCTGTCTTGCATCAAGATAAAGAGACAGAATAATGCTGCTGGGGAATTATGTGCACAAAGCTCTGTGAAGCAAGAATTAAAAGTAATGAGATTAAACAGAAAATAACTACATCAGGAATATGTTAATAATTTAATTAAAGTCTACCAAAGTTGAAGTATTCCACAATTAAGGTTGAAGCCCATCAGCATACCCTGTTCTACCTTGGGGATTTTGCCACAGGTAAAATTACCTGTTTGGAAATGTATGAAGAAAATGCAGTCAACTAAGAATGTGGTATGATCGTTAACTTCGACAATGCTGGACTTCACTGTTTTCTCAGACTTTTACTGATGTTTTAATATGTTTTCTTTATTGCAGTCTCATTTCTAGTGCATAAGATAAATGAGAATATTGATCCTTTTGAAAAACAGGAGTGCAAGATTTAGTGCTCTTTTTTTCCCCAAGTTTGTTTGCTGTGTTTTCATCTTTATGTAACTTCCAAGTCGAACAGAAACACAGAACAAAAGGGTTACTTAGTAGAAGAACAAGAAGCAACGCAAAGGCCATCATGATGGAGGATTTAGCAGCAAAGATTAGTCTGACACATTAAGGAAGCAGTTATATAGATCTTCACAGGTCTTTTATATTATCTTTTTAAGGTACTCTATAACATTGTATCCAATCCACAGTACGGTATAAAAAATAAATACTATGCTTTCTGGAGTAGCAAATGTTGACTGTACCAGGCAGAGTCAACCTCTTTCCCATGAGGCTCCCTGTCTTCATACTGTTTATCTTGTAGGAGAGCATACAAAATACAGAAAATACCTCCTCATTAACTTCTGTGCCTGCAATCTTTTATAAGACCACATGCAACTTCATTTTCCACAATACCAACTCAGTTTGATGTTCTAAAATGAGAGCGCACCATTACTCTAAAGGCTTGGTACCATAAAATATGGAATATCCTTCTTTCATCCATAGTTTCACATAGTGAGTAAGATCAGAACCTTCTTTTTCTCCAGTAACAGTTAAAACTGCGCGTAGTGAAAAGACAATGCATTGTTTTCTGCTGAAAACAATGGAAGACAAACTTTTTTTTCTTGCATACTTTCCTACTGAGTATAATGCATTTGTGGACTTTGAGCTTCAAACAGAAGGTGATTACATGTAGGTGATACTATGTCCTAACAAGTGTAAATGGTTATACTTGAAACGTACACTTTTAAAACTGATAAGATACTGGGTTTGTATATGAAAGAGGCAATATCCTGAACTGCAATAAAGAATGTCACATAGCGTCATGGTGATACTTCCCATAATCAAGCACAGCCTACTATACAATCTTGGCAAGGCAGAAAGTCTCCAGAAATAATAACTAAAAAAAAAAAGTTCCTAAATATTTCAATCTTTCATTCAGCTATAATCTGAGTAGATTGCAAATACATAAGGAAACACCCATAAAAGAAGTGCCCATTAAAAGCTGCTAGTAATGTTGGCATATGTTGACACTCTCGAGAAAAGAAATAGGCATGGGCATGTCCTGAAGGTGCAGTTTGGTCCTGAATCTGGACTGGTATACACGGCTACTCTTCCCTTTGGCACACCCTCACAACAAGAAAACTAGTGCTTCACTTAAACCTAAGAAGGCAGATAAAAGGGCAAGACCTTGCATTTTATATATTGAAGATCTTGGATTTTGTCCTTCCTGGCGACAAGTCTGTGTGCCCATGCAGGAGATTACTGTAGTCTCACTTCAAGTGTTCATCCCTCCCTGCAGGTCAGAAATGAGGCATGTCAGATCCTTCATTGCATCACTGGTATTCTTCATCTGCAGTTGCGTTGGGAAATTCTGTTTTAAAACAGTCAATGTAATCTTATTACAAGCACTGCATTTTTATGAGGGGGGGAAATGAGAAAGACAAATGTTACTCCTGTTCATGAATTTGCCTCTTATCATTTCCTCTCTCTGCTCTACAGGGAGTTACTGGATTCATATTAGGGATTATTTGGGTCTCTTTTACCTTGAGAGAGAAAATAATGGTAACCTAATTTGAGATTTGTACCAATTTAAGTAAGAAAATGGATTCTGAATATTTTGCATAGTTGCTAAATTTAACTGAGTGTTCAGTGAAGCATGAGTTTCCAAATGTGAATAAGAAGCTTTAAACCATTTTCCCCTATTTGTTTTTAAACTACATTTGTTACTTATGATTAGCAATTTTATGTCATTCATATGCAGTGTACTGAAACTGAATTCAATAAACTGACCTTCTTCCACCTATTAAACTAAACTTGGTATTTAATTTTTATGCATGCAAAGTCAAGCAGAAAAACTAAGGAGCATTTATAAATAAGATCATTGTGGTTTATTTGCAATGAATAGGAATATTTGTGTTAATTGCTTTCCATAAGAAATTTATTACTGCTTATTTTGAATTGGAATAAACACAAAAAATAGAACATCTGTATCAAAGTTTAAAACCCCACAATAATCAAAAGCTGTTTAATCTCATCCATTTAGTTCTATTGCACAGTCTGTTCAGTGTAACTTTTTACAACATATTGTGCAAGAAAACAGGTCATTTAAACTCGGTAATTAGTATTACAGATAAAATGACACTGCGGCAATGTTAATTACTATAGTACTGATGTAGTATAGGATATAATACATAACAGTCATGTCTTTAATTTTAAATTGAAGTGCAACAAAGCATAATATTGCTGCACTTCCTCTTCTTAAAGTAAATGAATGTTATTCAAGTGTACCATTTGTATGCACGCAGAGTGTTTTTAAATAAATCACAATTCTACTTTAACTCAAACTGGCATATTTCACTTTCTAATGGCATAAATTAAGGAATCTCTTGCTATAGGAACTTTTCCTATGACAGTTGAAATTATGACAGAATTATATTCCATATGAAAAATTTCCACAATCATTTTCTTTTTCATTACAGCAGCTGTAAATCAGTTTGCAAATGAAGCACGACATTCACTCTTTTTAAAAATAAAGATGAATCTTGGAGAGCATTACAGCTCTTTGAGGTGTAGTAGGAACTAGAGATATATGGTCAAACTGTAATTAATTCTGTACTGCTATGGCTAAAATATCTGGCAATTCTAAACATAAAATATTCATAACAAAACAAAGAGACTTGCAGAGGAGGACAATGAAAGTTTTTACCTGCAACTCCAGTAGGAGTAGGGCTCTTTATTTATGAATAATTATATCTCTGCTTTTTGCAGCACCTTTACTTTTGGAGAACTTTGTTATAAATATTAAAAGAAGAAAAAAAAAAAGAGTTACATTTTAGATTTGTTCAAGTGTACTTAAATAATTTATGTCAGCTGAAATGTTCCCATTTTCAGTGCAGAAATTTTGTAATGAAGCCATTATTCAGGCCTTGCATAAAAAATTATTCTAAAAGCCTACTTATTTAGAAGTATAATAATCCTATTCAGTATGTTAACTGTGCCCCCGTGGCTAAAATATGTACATATGGATTTAGCAAAATATTTGAATATACAGTATAAGATTCAAAGCAGAAGCTGAAGTATAACCTCAGGTTGTGTATTTCATCTCACAACAATAAGATGTATTGCTACATTTAAATGAAGGTGTGTAAAGAGCAAAATGTTGAAGTACATATAACTAGTTTCTATGATTTACAAATTATTTTGAAAAAAAATGCTTTTTTTCCCCCCCATTTTGTTTAGGTCAGTGGGACAATGTATAATACAGGGAGACATGTATCTCTACGATTAGATAAAGAACATCTGGTCAACATCTCTGGAGGCCCGATGACGTATAGTCACCGCTTAGAGGAAATCCGGTTACACTTTGGAAGTGAAGACAGCCAGGGATCAGAGCACCTGCTCAATGGACAGGCTTTCTCTGGGGAGGTATGTCAATGTATTTGTAGTTACAAATGAACCAGTATGAATTACTCACTTTCCATTTCTTCCTGAAGGTATTTACAAACTAATTTGTACTCATAACAATTGTTTCCCTTTATCCATTCTGAAAATCAAGGGATTACTTTTTTTTTCGCTCATGCACTGCAAATTTTGTGACTCATATCTAAAAATGAAACTGCTGTATTTATTGTATGCATAGACATCCTATATTCTCATATGTGCTACTTAGAAAGTAATTAAGTATCTTTCGATGGGTCCTTTATATCCCTAGTAAACGCAAATACAAGTTTAACCACAAAGTAATACTGGAAATGCTTCAAGTTCTTATGAAAGTGCTACTTTGGCTACTCACTGGTGTGTAACACTTTAGATTGAATATCACGGTGCCTTTGATTCATGTAAAAATAAGGTGATACTTAATTTTAGAGATTATTCCACAGAAGTCTGTTGGTCTGCTCAAGAAATAAAGTTAACTCCACCAGTAAACCCTGGCAGAATAGGTAATTGCTTTGTATTTTAAATACATGTCTGTAATTGTCCCAGGAAAGACCATAATTTCATGATCCTTCTAGCTATTGCAGGATGGCCCATTAAAATATTTATCCAGCAAGAGTAGTTTGATATATGGAGTACTTTTTCAAGATGTATAGTAAAGTTTGCAGACTTTCTGGTAGACAAAGCAGAATCTTTCCATTCTTCTTATGTAGGAGCATTTTTACATAGAAGAGATGCCTGGGGTTTGTAGTACCCCACCTTTCTTCAGCTTGTGCCATGTCTGTGAACTATCTAGCAGGCAACTCTGCTCCACAAATCTAAACAAATAAAATAATGCTTCAGAATAACTGTATATTACTATAGGGATTATTTTTAAAGACAGTCCAGGTATCCCTGCTACTATTCTTTCAGAAGACCAAAATTAATCGTTTTTCATAATAGAGCACTTATTTTCTTGGACGTGAATAATCAAGTTACCATCTGTACTATCTATCACAGACTCTGGTGATGAGCCAGTTAACGCATGGCATTTTCCTTGGCACTGTGCAACAGCAGTTATTTAAGAGTAGGAAATAAACTGCAGAGTTGTCAAAAACCATTATAATTGATGGTAATTATTTACTTTGTTTTATAAGCTACATAGATGTATAATATAGCCAGTGGCAGCTTTTTCATGAAATCATTCTTGTCTTACACAACTGATTCTGGTTGCCTTTGTTAAATTATAGGATAAGTGAACATGCATGTTACTCCTTTAAGAGATGAAAGTTGAGTATGCTGTAGTAAATAAGGTCTTTGCTGTGCTATTCAGGTTTACAGAAGAGCAATATTCAAACAAAAGCAAGTTGACTGAACAAGAAAGCAAAAATCTGGTTGAAACATACCATTGGGCTTTTTATGATGTATCAGCATCATTGCAGATATTTTTTAAAGAGTTATTAAGTTATAAGTTCATCAGTCATAGACTATAACAAAAGGCAAAAATGTAGAGCATTGTTTTGCAATACTTAATACTTAACTAGGTTCTTCTGGTTTTGAAAGTAGGAGTTTTGAAGTACTATTAATATGTGGTATTTGCTAACAGACACCTCAAGTTTTTCTTAATAAAAGCACAAAATCTAGCTAAGTGGAAACCGCTGTCAGTCAGTCATGCACAGCTGGATCCACAGTATATGCAGTATTCATCTAGTTATCTGAATTCCTCCTGCAATGAATAGAAAGAGATTAGCATCTTCAGAGGATGATCATTCCTGATAGCCAGAGACACATCTCTTGGGACAGGACAAATCACTCTGTGGAGATGCATCTCCCTTGACATGTTCAGAGCAGAGACAAACAACAGGCCAAGTAGCTTAGACTTAGACACCTCCTTTTCAGATGGTGAGATGAATTTTGTCCTTTGAGGAAGTGTTTTCCAAAGTTTCAGAGAGCTGTTTTGGGCAGCTGGACAGGTAAGTTCCAGTAAGGTCGAGTATTAATTACTAATTTGAACCTGCATCTGCACAGTTAGGTCTTATTTATAGACCACATACTGTTTCCGAAGTACAAGCACAGATTCAAATCAATCATGCTGAACAGCATGGCTGCAAATTTTCAGTGAAGGACAGCAGCTGACGGTGTTCTTAGAATATACATCCACACATACAAGTGCTGTCTGTATAAATAAGTGATTTTCGATAAGCTCTCAGTACTGAAAGATGTAATGTCTACAGCTCCCAGCAACTATAGTAAGGAAACTGTAAACAAGCTCACTGATATGATAGAGTACATGTCTTTCTAATGTAACGTATGCTTTCAAGACTGTTGCTGCTAATTACTGTTCACTTCTGCACTGAATAATGCTGTCAGAGGAGATGGGATAAAGCAAAATAACTGCATAAGTGCATTAGTTTAATTTAGCTAGTGCAGGTAGGAATAGCAATGAATATTTGCTGGCTTAGGCTTTAGCAGGTGTGGGCAACCAGAGAAGAATCATTGCAGGATTACACTGTTTGACTGCTAATTGCACAGTAACTCCCATGACACTGCCTTGTTCCTGCTATTCTTATTTGTGTCGGACAAACCCACTATGGCTTTTACCAAAACCTCTGTTTTGCTGTAGAAACAATTCCCAAGGATGAAGTTACCCAGGAAGTGTGATCCACTCCAGTAGATCACAATCAGATTATTCCTACTCCTCCTTCCCTCCACTCCCATCCATCTCTGTCCCCTCATTTTCACTGAGGTCTCCAATGCATGTTAAAGTCAGCACATTGCAGAGAGAGAAGGGAAAGCTGGGGAGAGAGCAGTACCTCTCCCTCATGGCACTGGAAAACTATTAGATTAGCTCAGACAGACCTAAATGAAATCTAAGTGCAGACAAGGTAGAAGCTTTTAAACAGCCCCAATATATCTTGAATCAGCTTCGATATTCTTTACACATCTGGAAATCCTGCCTAACATCCATGCTAAGCAAGAAGTTTGTTCTTAGGGACTTTTTTTGCCTAGTGGAGATGTTCTGCAAGTGGGCAGGCACTCAGAGGAAGCTAGAGAGCACTGGAGTGGTACCATGGCATGAAAAACAATCTAGAAATAGCAAATTGCTTCAAAATACACTGTGGTCTGAGTGATACTGAGAGGCTTGTAATTTCCAGGCTTTAACATTTAACTAGGTGTTAAAGGCTATCAAGAGAGATCTCTACAATAATCTGGTTACCTTTTAGCCCCTAATTATCACTTTAGTAGGCAGAATAACTGAACTAATGCTTAAATAGGTTGAGTGTAAGGACTTTGAAACTGTGTATCAGATTATCATCAATATGTTTGGCACTGCTAACATGGAAGGAAAGTCAGGCTTTGGAATGCTTAAATAAATAAATCAAGCATTTACTTGTCCCTCTACTACATACTTGAGTGTGTTTAATTCCCTACTCTTTGCATAAGCATCCTACTGTATTATAATGATTAAAACAAAATCTTGGCTCAAGGAAGGTCCCCAACTAAGACACCAATCATTTGTGTCTGCTGCCTAACATGTCTCTGCAAAACAGTTTTTAATGCTTCAGAGCCCATATCGTTTAACGAGAAAGACCATCTTCATTTCAGACAGCAGCAGTACAAAATAGAGCAGAATTTACCAGAGTGCTGTTGTTCAAGCACTGTCTACCTTGTTAAAATAAAAAGGTAACAACCTCCAAAAGATTCATGATGAGAATGGGACCCTTTAGCTTTACCATGCAGCAAAGTCAGAAAAATCCATACTAATTCTTTTTCCGAAGCAGAAAAACGAAAAATGTGCTGCAGGAGACCTCCACCCACTTTATTGCTGTGCATTGTAGTAGCCTTATCAATCTAAATGCAGAAAGTCAAAGAGCTTAATTATTTGGGGTTATGCACTTTTCACAAACTCAATGGCTGGAGACTTTCACACAAGAGACCATAGTCCACAACACATGAAAAAAAAAAAAAAAAAACACAAAACAGATTTCTTCTTCTCTGCCCACCAAGTCACCCTTTGAAAACCCATTGACAGGGATAAATACCCAACAATTTCATCCACTACATAAGTAAAATGAAAGCCAGAGTGGTATCTAGATAAATTAATACATATTGCTAGCTATACACACAGTTTGGAAATGAGATTTACTTTTGCTGCTGCTACAAGCCAAAGAAAAAATGAACAAAATACAAGAAAATGGGAATCAAAAGGGGAAGCTGGAAATTCTGAAACACCAGCCTTCTCCTACTACTGCAATTTCTTTAACTGCAGGCATACTCTATGTGAGCAGGGAACTTCTGGTGACAGTAAAGGATTACTTATCAGACAGATCAGTGTTGCAAATCCAACTTCTGATATTTTTAGAAGCAGGACTGTCAGATAGACAGCCTATGAGAAGCATCCGGCCAGCTGGAATAATTTAATCCAGCCTGCTGCAGAATTAGTCTGAATTGTTAAATTAGAAACAGTGGCTCTGTCACAGAGACCTTCTGTACACCTTTGACTTGCCTGTGTAGTTCCAAATAGCCTTCTCGGAAATCCTAATGTTGGTATTGTTTATACAAAAATAATAAAAAAACACCAACAAAAAAACCCCAAAACTACCAAAAAACCTTTACTGGAATAAAGCACTGTATATGTACTATGACATTAGTTATGTTAGCAAAACAGAACAAATCACGGCTAATTAGCATATCAGAAGAAATGGCAAGTACAGCCCAACTCTATATTGTATTGCTTGTTACAAGCCATTTACATCTCCTTTTATTTGATAAGGTCCCTATCTTTGTCCACAAAAATTTCATCACCTAGAAGGTGACACGCCTCCCATGTGACATTTGGCTTAGGACTCTGCCTGCTTTTCTCACCTGTGGGTCAGTTCTGCACAAAAGCCCCTGTG